ACGATCTGAGCCAAAGTCAGACGCCCAACCATCTGAGCCACCCAGGTGCCCCTAATCCCTATTTTTAAAACCCAACATATAAAAATAAATAAATAAATAAAACCCAACAGCTCATCTAAAATTACGACATAGGAATTGAGACAGTAGGGGCATTTCCAACTGCTGTCAGGAGCGAATGTAAAGATAACCTCCACTCCTAATCTTTAGTATGGCTCTGGACATTCTATTCAATGCCTCAGGGAGAGAAAAATATAAGATTAGGAGACTTCCTATTGAATGAAGGTGATATACCTGAGTCTATAGAAAAACCAGGAGTACTGACTGAAAAACTAAATCAAAGTTCAGAATAGCTATAAAATATGTAAGCATTACCCAATTGTATAATTAAACATTAAACAATCTTTTCTTTCACATTAAACAATCTTAGTAGAAATAGGGGTGCCTGGGTGGCTCAGTCAGATAAGCGCCTGCCATCGGTTCAGGTCATGGTCCCAGGGTCCTGGGATCGAGCCCCACATCAGGCTCCCTGCTCAGCGGGGAGCCTGCTTCTCCCTCTCCCTCTGCTGCCCCCCCTGCTTGTGCTCTCTCTGTCAAATAAATAAACTCTTAAAAAAAAAAAAGCTTAGTAGAAATAAACTGTATTTAATTTCTTGATCAGGGCACACAGGTTACACAGGTTATGTTTAGTTTGTCAAAATTTATCAAAATATACAATTATCATACATATGTTTTCTATATGTATATTACATTTCTATAGTAACTTTAAAAAATTAATCTAAAAAAACTAAATTTCTTAACGTACAGGGTAATAAATTAACAGATAAACTTGAAAATATTTAACAATTTATTATTAAAATTATGGGATTTCTAAGCAGTGGAGAAAAGTATCAATTTCTTAAAAATGACAGGGGGAAATTTGATCCCCATCTCATAATATGTACTATAAATTCCAGATATATTAATAATTTAAATACAAAAAATAAAATGTAGAAAGCAGGGAAAATATTCCCAAGCAAGAGTAGAAAATGAGAAGCCATAAAGGAAAAAAGTATTTTCAATACATATGATATGAACAATTTTTTTTTACAATTTTATTTATTTATTTGGCAGAGAAAGAGACAGCGAGAGAGGGAACACAAGCAGGGGGAGTGGGAGTGGGAGTGGGAGAAGCAGGCTCCCTTCCCACTGAGCAGGGAGCCCATTACGGGACTTGATCCCAGGGCCTTGGGACTACGACCCGAGCCAAAGGCAAACGCTTAACAAATGAGCCACCCAGGCGCCCCTATATGAACAATTTTTAAAGCAAAGTCACCATAACATAGTTCTTTGCAAACTGCTGATCACACTCTACAAGGTCCAATACCAATTTAGTGCTTTGTAACAAGTGCTTTTTCTTAATGGAATAGTACAGAAAAATACAAGTGCACTACATTTAATAAAAATAAGTATTACAATATAAATCTTTTTTCAAAATTTTTATTTATTTAAGAAATCTCTACACCCAGAGGCACCTGGGTGGCTCAGTCGTTAAGCGTCTGCCTTAGGCTCAGGTCATGATCCCAGGGTCCTGGAATCAAGCCCCACATCGGGCAACCTGCTCGGCTGGAAGCCTGCTTCTCCCTCTCCCACTGCCCCCTGCTTGTGCTCCCTCTCTCGCTGTGTCTCTCTCTGTCAAATAAATAAATAAAATCTTAAAAAAAAAAAAGACATCTCTACACCCAATGTGGGGCTTGACCTCACAACCCAAGATCAAGAGTTGGAAGCTTTTCTGACCTAGCCAGCAAGGCAACCCTACAATGTAACTCCTTTATGTAATGTGTTTGTATGTGTCTGTGCACTGAATCAGGATGTAAAATGTACTTATTTCTTCATATATATAGTTGTCAAAAACCATAGGAGAAATACTGCCATTAAAAAAAATAATAAGTCAAAGGACAGTCTAGGAAAATATTCATACTACATGTAAATAGTTACTATTCTTGATGTAAAAGAGCTTCCACAATCAAAAAGAAAAGTAAGTCACTCAACAGGAGAGTGAGAAAAAGACAGGAATATGTACTTTGCTTAAGTGGAAATCCACAGGATCAAAAGCTGTTTGACTTTCCTAGAAGACAAGGAAATGAAAATAAATGCAACTTTTAATCCACCTAAATGCCAAAACTAAAAATGCAGAAATGTAGGTAAGCAAATTATAATGCAATATAACATTTATACTAGAGAAAGTATGAAATAAACAAACTCATATTCATATTGTGAAATAATGTGCAGCCATTACTTGTATATATCAAGCTAGTGACTGCACGGCAAGAGTTCCTAAATAAACAAGCAGCTGAAAGCTGGCAGGTAAAACATTAATACCAGTTACCACTGGGAAACAGAAGTGAGGAAAAGAGAAGCTCTGTTTGTTTTACTCGATGCTTTTAATTTTACAAATATGCATATCTAAGATACCGGGACTTCAATGTACACATTCCTCTAAAGAGAAGATCCTGAGTACATTTTAAGATTTATGTGCCACAAACATAGGACATTCTCATTAACTAATGAGCTTAATTAAAAACTGACCCTTATCATTCAGTTATATCTCATATATAGGTTCCTAAATAAACAATGCGAGTCCGGCATTGGGCTCCCTGCTCAGCGGGGAGCCTGCTTCTCCCTCTCCCGCCCAATGCGGGACTCGATCCCAGGACCCCGGGATCATGACCTGAGCCGAAGGCAGATACTTAAACTACTGAGCCACCCAGGCGCCCCTATTACTGTTAATATTAACCACTAAGATGGGGAAAGAGCAATCCTTTGGAGCTGTCTGATCCAGGAGATGCCACGTAGCCTGAACTTTAGTGTCCTCCTTTTTTAAGATGTCACGTAGATTGTGATGGGGATTCAGTGAGACCATATGACCAAAGTTGTTAGCACAGTGAGGATGAGGTATCACTAAGAGAGAACACTAACAATTTCATTATAATAGTTATAATCCAAAGAATGGTAGCTATATTATGATATACACTCCTTACATTGTGCAATAACTCATTTGATCTTCACTACAATCCCAAGGTGGACACTGTAAAAAGGTGCTCAATTTTAAGAAAAATGCAAATTAAACATGGCACAGATAACATTTTTCACCTATCAGAATAGCAAACATCAAAATGTTTGAACACCTAGGCCCTTGGGGAAGTTGTGGGGATATATACTCTCATATAATGCTGATGGAGTGCAAAATGGTATCATCCCTATGGAGAGCAATTTG